CCAGGTAGATCTACATGCACTCCAGGTGGTGATTGACATAGAGGGCAACACCCCCTCTTCGTCTCCCCTGCCTATCCTTCCTAAAGAGCCTGTATCTCTCCATCCCAACGTTGCAATCATAGGAGCCATCCCACCACGTCTCCGTGATGCCAATAAGGTCGTAGCCCTGCAGGCGTGCGCACATCTCTAACTCCTCTAATGTAGTATGGTTGTTGAATTTAGCCAGTGTAACAGCTGAGCCCACTGCATTGCCGTGGTGTTCACATTCTTACAGAAACTTGCTTTGACAATTCTAGGGACTAAATGACAAAGGATGTCAAGGAAGTACTTCCATTTATTACCTAGCTAGCTAGCTAGCTAGCTGTCTGTCTGTCTGTCTATTGAGTTAGCTAGTTTTTCTGATCTTAGCATCTTTGCCTTAGAAAATTCTTGACTTTTCTGTAAATATCAGAGAGAAGTTTGATATAGCAGAAGTGAGGCTCTTAAGTAGGGAACTACCCAGAAAAATGATTGGACATTTTTTCATTTGGTTTGGTTCTTGACTGCATTAATGCGGGTTTTTTTTTTTGTTTTCCTGTAACTATGTACATTATGTGTGAAGCTGGAATCTTCTTGTAAGAGTAGGAGATAATTCTAGGAGATAATGTAGTGTCACAGAGATTTTACTTTTCTATTTTTTAATCTCTTCACAGTACTTGAGGAAGACCTGAATTTTCTTTCCATCTTCCTGCCTCTACACTTTCATTAATGAAAGATACACCTTAATTCTGAAACAGAACATGGTGATAAGTATAGCTGATTATACTGTTTGCTGAGGCAAAACTTCTGGAAGTGCTCCCGGGAGGTATGTAAATGTATGTGCAATTACACACCTAATTTTAATTGTGAAAAAAACTTAATTGCATGGCCAGTGCTTGTCCAGGACTACCTCATTACCTTTATGTTTTTCAAGTGAATGTAATTCCAAACTTTTATCATAACACTCTCAGCTAGCCTTCTGATGTTTTCCTAATACCTCTGCCTAGTAATGGTGATGACAGAGCTTATAACAGAAAGAAGATTATATTCCTGGAATTCATAAGGACTGCAATCCCTGCATGCAAGAGGACAACTTGTTGCTAATATCTTTGTTACATCCTCCACTTTATAATACCAATCAGTGCCTTGTAAGAGCTTCGATATATTTGAAAGCATTATGTCAGCAGAAGGCTTTAGCTACAGGAACTTAAACCATTTTTAGGTAGAATATGACCTTGTATTTTCTGAATTGTTCACACATATAAGTACTTGCCATGAACTAATGTCTCCGGTGATTGTGGTCACAAGTAAGTTTTGTATCAATATTGTCAGTCCTTCTGAATTCTTAAATGATAGCTTTCTATAATGCATTTTAAACTAACATATCTTTTAGGTGTTTTGTGGTTTCTTTAGCTTTATGAAGGAGCTGGCCACTACAGATACTGTGCAGATTAAATTCAGAAAAAATGACCTAAATGCACAAATTTATTCTTGGCTTTGGCTTCTAAGAGGGATTGTGATTTAGACTTTTCTTGAGGTAAAGAGCTATTGTTCTGGCCTTGTGTATTACAGCTAATTAGAAAAAGTGTGACAGGTATTTTTCTTTATGGTCAGAAACATACAAACTGAAAAGAGAGAAATTTTTACTTCAAAACTGTTTTGATGATAAATATTCCTCCAGGGCAGTTCCCTTCCTGTTTTCTTCCATTTGTTTCTTCATTCTTCCGCTTTCTCCTCATTCTGGTCAGACTCTTGGAACCATATTCCAGTCAAGTCTGAAGTCCTTTCTTCCCTCAGGTCTGTTCTCTTTCAGCATCTTGATTTTTTTCCTTATAGTATTTTAAAGATTTTACCTTCGTATTTGTGCAGCTTTCTCCAGTGTACAAGAGAAAATAAATATAGATGCCACCTCTGTGGCATTCTTAAAATCCCCTGGAAAGATGGTGCCCATGGGCTGAATGCCAAACAACCCGGAAGAAAAATAAGTTGGTCCTTTAAGACTGAAGCACTGAGAAAACATTTAGAAAACAACTTGTCATTTTCTTTTTTTCCCCCTGATTTTCTCTCTTTTCCTGTATTTCCCAGGTAGGGGTCTGTCCTTGTTAAAGGACTGGTTGCACCTTTCCCCTTAGTTTTTCTTGGAGACATGCTTTTGAGTAAAAAACTTACTGATTTTTGCTGCCTTTGGGGTGAAATTCCAGGATGTTCCCACTTGCAGACCTGGTATCTTGGTTACAGCCATCCACTTCAGCAACTGTGATGTTTTGGGCCCACTATGATTTAAAATATGTCAGTTTCCTCTCCATGTGTCTAGACCTCAGAGCGTTTCTCCATGGCCAGGTCTAGATAAGCTTCTGCCTCAGCTCCTGATGCAGTCTTGGGTACACACTGACATATCAGCCACCCCTTGCACCTCGGTTTGCCAGAAATTTTATCTGTTGGCAGTGGAGGAAGGGGAACGCTGTGATAACTGTGTGAATACAATAGCACTGAAGAGCTTCTTCAAAACATGTATATCCCTAGAGCACATGCTTTTTTAGCCTGTGTTTCACCTTCTCAGAAGAAAAGCTTACTGCTTCTTTAGGAAGGTCCCAGTTTTGGGCTTTGCGGTTCTGTTTCTGCTCTGCCATTGCTATGCCTTCAGGTTTTATATCTATTCTAGGTTCAGGTTTAGGAAGTTGACTAGTTTGATAAAGAAAAGTCTTCAAAGGTGTTGATGTGGACATTGTCAGTTAAGTACTGGTGAGTGAAGATTGCTGTCCTGGGAATGCTGGGGAGCTAGAGTCCATGGAAAAACAGCAGAATGAAAAGCATTACCACAATAACCATAAAAATAGTACAGGTACATACAGATATATAACTCATTCAAAAGGTAAGAAGTAAAGCAACAAACTTTCTTGGAGCTATGGAGATACAGATTCAACTACTTCATTTATAAACCATTTAGAATACTAAAGGTTTCTTCTTGCTTTTTAAAGATTTGTTACTGAAATTTCTTTCTCCTGTAGGCTTTAATTTAAGCCACTTACTTGTAGAAAGAACATGAATAGGAAAACTTAAGCTTGATTTATTGCATTTTTTAAATTTAACTTACATGTTTCTTAGTAAGAATTTACTTCTTAATGAAAGTCCCAAAGGTTTCAAGACAGATTAATTTAAATTTTGATAGTACACTTCCTTTTCCCATAGTGATTAACAGAGTATATAGCCCCCATTTGCCCTTCCCTGTCCTTCCTGATGCATAAGAAAGTGAAAATTCATCAACTTCAGGCTGGACCCAACACAGTGGTTATGAAGAGTGCTGCATGTATAAATAAGAGGTAAAAGGTGGTTATCCTGGATTTGGAATGCAGAGATTGGATGCTATGTTGCAAGGAATACTTGTTAATGACTATCAAACTACTTCTAATTTGTGCCACTCTTTTAGTCTTAATTTTGTTGCAAACATTGGCTCATCAGATATGTCCTTCTATTTTCTATTTTCTTCATTGTAAACTTGATGGAAAGCAATGGCGAAGGCATGGAAGGATCTTGAGATTTCATACTTCCATTGCATGGACCAAAGCCCTGCTCCATGAAATACTTAAGCCTCTACTCTAACTATGCAAAGGATGTGGATGACTTGCATGCTTGAGTAAATTACTAGATCAAACACATGCTTAGGTTTGCACTTTGGGTAATTAAATGCTTAATTAATTGTTTAGCTGCAATAACCTCCTCCACTCCCCACCCTGTTTTTCTCCAGTCCTGTGTTTGCATTTGTCAGTTCTTCTTTGTTTTACACCTGGACTGAACAAACTTTAAAGAAAAGGCTGTGCAAACACAGGACTAAAACCACAGAAGACTGTGGAGTTAACAAACTGGGGTTAAGGTGCCTCTAAGCACTGTAGTGATTTGTATAATGAAGGCTGACTTACTGTTGCATAAAGACATCCCAGAGTAAGACTCTCAAGCTCTGTCTTTATTAGTATTGTTCTTTACTTTTACTCATTTCTTAATTTTCCATGTCTTTAATAGGTGAAGTTGTAATCCCATCTCTATGTCAAAGGGCAGTACCTGTTCTTCTGTGGATAGATGAATGTGTCTTCAAAAATTTTGTGCGTGATTTCTTTTTCTGAAATTGTTCCTGAGAGGTGTGCAAGAACAGACTTAATGTTCCTTGAAAGTCATACTGATGCCGTTGTACAAAACCCAGAACATTTATCTCCCTCCTCACATCCTCGGTCCCTTCATGGACAAGAGGAGTCTTCTGAGGTGAATCAGCAAAGGCTAACATTTATACTAGCAATTGTTCTGCAAGATTGTGTATGTGATTAAATATAGTAATAATTAGATGAAACAGGTCCCTTTTTGCTAGGGACCATGCAAAACAATAAAAAAAATTAACAGAGTCACTTACCATCTAAGTAATTTCTCTGGTTTTAACCTAGACTGGATGACGTTTTATAGCGCTCGTTGATTCCTCACTAAAGGTTCTGTTATTGAGGTCTCTATTTCTCATGCCACTTTCAACTTCAGGCTATAATTATTTGTTCTTCAAAAAGTTTCAGAAAATAATAATCGACTCAGTTTCCAGAGTTAGGTTGGCAGAAAAATATTCTGTAGTGCCCATAACAACCTTTTGTGTTTTAGCTGCATTCGATTAAAATTTTCTTCTCAAGGTTTGACCAGACATTTCAAATGAGTGACTGGAGGAGTACCGTGTATCCAGTACTGTGACGTGAAAGA